AGTTTGCTTTGCATGAATGCCTTTCGCGTTTTTCTTTTCCTGAATACTTCCTTCTTTCTCCCCATTGGTATGAGTCTGTGAGGGCAAGGTCCATTTCTTCCCCCTCCTTTTTTGTTCCTAACAGATTAGATGGATGCTGAGTGGAAGCTGCTCGGTGAACGAGTGAGAACCAACCAAATCCTCCCTATTGCCTTTCATGGTTGTTTCTTTAGTCCCATTTCGGATGAACTGGTTTCCTTTCTTCTCCTCTTCTTTTGTTTCTCTCTTAGTGATTTCTACATACCTCTAACTCAGTCTTCTGCAGTACAGCTCTCCCTTGATCAAAACCCTCAGTGGATTATTATGTCTTGCAAAATCCTTTTCATGCCTTTGGAAAGTATAATTTCCATCCTTTAGTGGTCAGTCTTGAATCTGCATTTGCAGCTGCATTTCCCATGCTGCTTCTTGCCAACTCCAGACCAGCCTCTTGTCCATTCTTTTGTCACACTCTGTAGCATACTGTTTCTGTAGTTGTGTTCTTATCATACCCTCAGACAGGTGTTTCCTTGTCCTGGTCACTGCTGAGTGAATTAAAAGTGAAATGCCCTCTACCCCACATCAGAATTAATCCTCCATTTTGCATCTGTAAATACCACTGTAAGTTTTTCCTTCCATTATGGTATGTATCCCACTCCATCCCACTCCACTTTTTATTATAGCCTTTTATTATAGCCACTTTTTATTATAGACTTTGGTTTTTGCTTTACTTTTGTGTATCTGTACCTAATAGATTACAAATGCCTGGAGATAACAGCTCTATCAGTTTAACCTTGAAAGCCACAGGCAAGCTAGTCCAATCAATGGTTGATTCTATTCAATCAGTATGAATAGAGCATTTGCCTTGACTGACAGACCTGGGATTGAATTCCTAATATGCCACAAATTGCTATATAATCTCTGCCTTGTCTTTCTTCTAGTTTCCTAGCTTTTAATAGGAAGATAATACCAAATTTGTAATATGCTTATGCAGATTAAATGAAATAATGTATGGAAAGCATATAGCTTAAAACAGTGGCCCATGACAATGCCAAAAATAGTTGTGATTATTGCTGCTACTGTTACTGTAGCTATGTAGTTACTATTGTAGAAACATACTATTTTGTTTGAGCTTTTAGCATTAATGACTTTGTGTGGCCAATTTCTAGTTGAATATAACTGAAGCTAGAAATTACCCCTTAGCCTGACCATTAAATATAAAGCATTTTTTTCACTCTCTTACAGTCTTTTATCATTACTTATTTTGGCATGCCAACATTTTTCTGGCAACAAGGGTTGCTTGCTTCTTCAATTTTTCCAGTAGTAGAGGACTAAACTGCCGTCAGTATTTGTGAAAAGAAGAATTATTGCAAGCCTTAAATCCTATCTAGCCCAGCCTTTTCCATGATGTTTTGCAGTATATGAGTTGAATTTCCTATGGTTAGAGTTACTGAAACCTGCCATGTAGTGTTGGAGGGAATAATAAAACACCAGAAGGACTTCTTTAGCCTGACAGTGGGCTGTTCTCACCCTCAGGTTAACTTTTGTTGAGTAATATGTTCCATTAGAACCTGGATGGATGGCACAGTCAGAATGCATAGTCTTTGTACCAAAGAACTTAGTAAAATTGAAGTCAATTAAGGAGAAGGACATCTAATTATGCTTTTGTAAATTGTTAGGAAAGATACAGTGCAGAGCATTCTTAACTTGAATTAGGTGTTTTGTGCTTACTAGTGTTTCTTAGACTTGAAATTATGGAAGATAATTCACAATGAGGAAATACCTAATTTTTTTACCTCCCTTTTTTCTAAGATTATGAAGAACTCATCAAAGAAAGAAAAAAACCTCTGATATAATCACCAAAAAAGTTAAGAATTGATCTTACATATTTAAAGCATATATATCATTTTCTACACTGGTGAAAATAGATTAAGGAAATAGCACTAGAAATTGACTTAAGATCTAGACACTGGTGGAAGAATGACATATTGCCAGAGACTAAAATACCAAAAGAAGAGAGGAAATTAATGTCAATTCACCAACTGGTGATGTTGGTGATGGTGGTGATGAGAACATTTAGTAGACAAATTTTCAGGCCCCGTGTAAGTCAATTAATGGTCATTATTTCATGCAAGTTTTATAACAATCTCTGTGAAATGCATGTTATTACTTTTACCTTTATTTTACAGATAAAGAAACTAGGGCTTCAACAGATAATCTTACCCAATGGCACATAAGTTGTAAAAGACAGAAGTGAGACTTACAGTATTCTTAATCCCGATACTGTACTGATAAGGCTACAATCGTTCATTTTTTCTGTAGGTGATAGCGAAGTCAGAGTTCCGAGAGTGAGTTCTTAAGTTCTTCTCTAGGAACACAGTACCTGTTGGTTAGAGCAGAGCCACCAAATAAGTGGATGACCACTTCAAAGGCTTTAATGAGGGGGATTTACAGATTGACATGGAAAAACTCTTTGTAGTAAATCCTTTAGGAAGAAGAGGAAGATAGACTATGTGATTTAGATACTATGTTTCCTGAAAGCCAATTTCAGTAAAACCACTCTGTCAGTATTCCATTCCATGCCATAGCAGCTTAAACTACAAAGCCGAAGCAGAGGAGAGTAAAGGTATGGTTACAATTGGTGTGTGTACCCCTTGATCCTAGATGGAGACATTCTGTTAATAAATCCCCCCCGGCTGTGCAAATGGCGAGACTCCATCTAACAACTCAGAGGAGTGAGGCTCTCTAACGCTCCTGAAGTTTCCTAGCCTACTCAGATGCTGTTTGAGTTCGGCCTTTCAACAATTTTATTATGCCTGTGGGTGCCTATTTCCAGAATGCAAAAAATAGTTGTGATTATTGCTGTTACTGTTACTATAGCTATGATACTATTTTGTTTGAGCTTTTAGCATTAATGACTTTGTGTGTATGATAGGCACCCACAGCCTATCATTATTAGTTATTCAGTAGCATCCCATTAGACATGTTCTTTAAGATTCAGCAAGATAAGACCGGGTGGCTCAAGCCTGTAATCCCAGCACTTTGGGAGGCTGAGGTGGGTGGATCACAAGGTCAAGAGATCAAGTCCATCCCGGTCAACATGGTGAAACCCCATCTCTACTAAAAATACAAAAAAAAAAAATTAGCTGGGCATGGTGGTGCGTGCCTGTAATCCCAGCTACTCAGGAGGCTGAGGCAGGAGAATTGCCTGAACCCAGGAGGCGGAGGTTGCGGTGAGCCGAGATTGCACCATTGCATTCCAGCCTGGGTAACAAGAGTGAAACTCCATCTCAAAAAAAAAAAAAGATTCAGCAAAATAATTACCCAGAAGATTATAAATTCCCGTAAAGTATTCTCACTGATATAGTTTGACCCTACAAACAAAACAAAAGAGTGAAAAAAACACAGACACAAATGTCTCACATTGGTCATGCAAGATTTATATAATGCCAAATATCTATTATTTGAGAAATGAAAGCACACATGACTGCTGTGAAATAAGAACAGAAGTGAAATTTCATATCAGAAAAGGAGCTAATTCAAACAAGCATTGGAAGTAACACATTTTATTGGTTGTAAGACATGCGTTTTGACATTTTAGCATCTTGAAATAGGAATTCTTTCAAAAGATGGCCTCTTACAAATACTTCGTCATGAAATGATGGTAACATATAAAGCTCCTTTTAAAAATTGAGAAGAGATGATGTCATTTTTGCTCATATCTCCCTGGCATTGGATCTCCATAAAATCCAAGAGCTTTACCATGGATTACATGGCTCAGTATGATGTGGCCACTCACTGCTTCTCTAACCTCATTTCTCAGGACTTTCTCCACCTCTTTTTTTTCTCTCTCTGTTGCAACCATGCTGGTCTTTTGGTTCTTAAACCACCCAGGCACACTTCCACCTCCAGGTCGTTGCCTTTGGTGTTTCCTCACTGGGAATGTGTTTACACTGAGAATCCATGCTTCACTCCCACATCTACTTCACATTATTTATTCAAGTCACACTTATTTAGGCTTTGCCTAGCCACCTTCTCTAAAATTGCAACATCCTAACATTCCGTCTACCTTTCTGCTTCATTTTTCTCTTTAGCATTTATTACCAGCTGACAGTTCGTATTTTATTTATCTTGCTTGTAGTTTATCTCTCCCCAGTAGAGTATAAGCTCTGGTAAAAATAGGAATTTTTGTGTATTTTCTTCACTACTGAATCTCTAGGTCTTAGACAAATGCCTGCTATAGACAAGGCACTTAATAAATATATGCTGAATATATGAATAGCTATAATATAAATATATAAATACTTATGTAGGAATATGCCAAATATAAAAGAATAAATCAATGGAATGCATGCTCAAAGGCTGACAAGGTAGGAAAGGAGGTAAATACTACACTAAGCCTGTCTAGTCACTCATGATCTAGGATTTGGGCATCTTGAGCTATAAACTTTCCTCTGTTACTGGCTATCTGAGTAAAGTTTACAAGTTAATCTCCTGGGCCTCCAGCTGGGACCACAGAATATGGATATTATCATCAGCCTCTCAGTTAATTGAGCCTTCTGGTAAAAACAGTTGAAAAATGAGGACCAGAACTGGAATGCTGAAGTGAATGAAGCCCTATCTTTTAACATAAATATCACCAGAAATGGTGGTTGTAACGAGAGTCTTAATACAAAAGACTTTCGAGTTAATTTTTTGTTCAGTTGTGTTCATTTTATAAATAGTGAAACTGAGCCCAGGATTTGAGAGACTTAGCCAAGGTCAAGTGCTAATTGGTGGCCAACCATAGAAATGTACTCAGCAACCCTGATTGAACCTAATGTTCTTTTTACTTTAATTAGTACACATGGTAAATACTGGTGATTAAAAACAAAAAAGAGTTACACTTAACGCTGTTTTGGTATTTTGTTCAACCTAAATTTGACAAATTCACATAATGGAAAGAATGCATAGATCGATTTCTCTCTCTTTGTGACTTAATTCAGCTTCCAGAGGAGATTGGAAAACTTGAAGATAAAGTGGAATGCGCTAATAATGCCCTGAAAGCAGATTGGGAAAGATGGAAACAAAATATGCAAAATGATATCAAGTTAGCATTTACTGATATGGCTGAGGAGAATATCCACTACTATGAACAGGTAATTAGTGTTATTTGATATTACTTCATTCTAAAGTTATATTCACGTTTACTTTTCATCTGTCCAGTGTTGACAGAGTATGTTAAAGATCCAGTGTCACATTCTGATGCCTCTCTGCTTTTGGTGAAGTTCTCAGTTACCATTGAGTTTTGTTTATCTTCAGTTTGTTGTTTTGGATTTGAATTCCTCAAAGCATTTGGTAATGCTTTCTAATGATTCTCCCAACTTCTCTTTCCTCTCTCTTTTCCATTTCTAAAGAGTTTGCAAAGGTTGTTTGCAAACAAACAGAGCAGAGGTTTGAATGAACAGAAAATCAGTTCAGGGCCTGTTCCCTATATCCTTGCTATCCCTGCCTTCTGTAACTATTCTAAAACCATCAACAAAGAAGCACACTATTCCATCAGCAGAAGAGTAACAACATCTTTTTTTAAGTTCATTTTGTTTTTCAGATGATTGTATTTTATATTTTTACAGCTAACTTTTCCTCAAAGAAGTTTTCTTCTTTACTGTAAACATAATTTTTCTTGAAAGTATATTCCAAAATAACATTTTTAACCTTATCTCTGGCTGAATTAATGAATATATGAAATTATTACATCAACAAAATTATGTTTTATAGCCGTGATCCCAGACCTTTTTGGCACCAGGGACAGGTTTCATGGAAGACAATTTTTTTATAGACCTGGGTCAGGGCACGGTTAGTTTCAGGATGAAACTGTTCTACCTCAGATCATCAGGCATTAATTAAATTGTTATAAGGAGCACTCAGAACTTAGATCTCTTCCATGGGCAGTTCACAGTAGCATTTGCGCTGATGCTGCCTCTGATCTGATAGGAAGTAGGGCTCAGGCAGTAATGCTCACCTGCGGCTCACCTCCTGCTGTGCGACTGGGTTTCTAACAGGCCAAAGACCAGTACCAGTCTGTGGCCCAGGGGCTGAGGAGTTTAAAAGAACTTTAAACTGAAATATTGTATATCTGGAAAGGTTAACTGACATTGATATTTTTATTCAAGTGAGTTAATTAAGCTCCTGCTATCACCAGACATTGTGCCTGGCCCTGGAGAGACCACAGTGTGCAAGATGAACCCAGTGCCTTTCTCATGAAGTTACCCTCAATGAAGGAAACAGTCACTTAGAAAGAGAGCATGATAAAGTGGTATAAGGTTCACTACAGAAAGATACTGCAGGGGCATATAACCTAATCTAGAAAGAATAAGGATATATTTATGCAGAGACCTGAATGATGATTAAGGAGTTGCCAGATAAGGATGCGAGAAACTGAGCTGGAGGCAGAGAAAACACATGCACAAAAGCCTAGAAGGGAGAGAGAACATGTTCAGGTAACTGAGGTTCTGTTTTGGAGGAAGAGGAGTGAAGGTAGTTTTGAATTGAAACACTAGGCTGAAGAGTGCTTTATAAATTTAGTCTTTTATCTTTCATGGGAAATGGGAACCATTGAGTAGTTTTCAGCAGGGAAGTGACAGCATCAGACTTGCCTTTTGGAAAGGCCATACATGGGTCAGAGTGGAGCAACACTGGACATGACGAGACTAGTTAGGAGGCAGCAAAGGCAGAGATGTGTGAACTGACCTAGGAGTTTCGTGTTAGTAGGCTGGAGATTAACGAACAGATCCGTGGTTTGGTTTGGTTTTTTTAACTGGGTAGAATGGAAAGATCATTTTCTATCTCTCCTTAATTTTTTATTCTGGTAACAACCGTAAGTGAATTCAAATATCTAAAGTGAATTTTGCATAAACCTCAGATTTTGAATGATATGAAGATTTCTTTTGAATAAAGCACATTTACCAACACACGAACTTATTGCCACTTAACCGTTTAAATCCATAGAATTAACCTTACCTCTCCTTTATAGTAGAATCTGTCTACACTTACATTACAGAATTGTTATGAAAGGCAACTTGTTATGAATAACAAAACAATAAAACCAGAAATTCAATTGAGATAATTTATAAGAAAATGTCTTAAATTAAAACATGCTGTTTTCTATAAATGATCATAAAACCTAAGTATATTAGGGTGTAAAAATCACATGACAAATGCACTTAATATATTTTCCTTTAAATGAACAGATCTGCCAATTTTTCTAAATTTGGATTTTTAAAAAAGTGCTCATAACTATTCCACAGAATTCCAACTAAAATGTTTGGGTTTTGACTGTACTTCTCAGATAAATATATATTTTTTTCAGTCTCATTGATTTAACTCAGTTTATACAAACATTCCTTTCTCAGAAACAGTTAAATGAGCATTGCTGAGCCATATTGCAAATTGTTTTTCACAGCGATTTCTATCAGTGTATGATGTTTTTAACTCTTTCCCTCAGTGTGTTACATTTCTAAATGTTACAAAAATACAAGTGTACTACATCTTAGATGTATAAATTTGGAGGGATTGTTGTTTCTCTTTTGTGTAACTTCTAAAGATCCTTATAGCTCCAGTTATTTGTTGAATTTTTTCCTGAGTGAAAAACTTTTTGACAGATTTGGCACATCAGTTCAGTAAAACAAAATCAGGAAGTTGGAGTCCTTAAGCGATCAAGGATTCGTAGCAGAAAGATTAAGTCCTAAACAGCAATAACCTGCCATTAACTATTAACTTCAGAATATCCCAGCTATACAGGGAAGTGAAATGTTCCAGAGGCCATTCATTCCCTGTTTAATTTAATCATTCTAATGGAAATACTTTTTTCTTTTTTTTTTTTTTTTTTTGAGATGGAGTTTCGCTCTTGTTACCCAGGCTGGAGTGCAATGGCGCGATCTCGGCTCACCACAACCTCCGCCTCCTGGGTTCAGGCAATTCTCCTGCCTCAGCCTCCTTGGAAATACTTTTTTCATCTGTATTCCCAAAAGGGTCTGTTCTTAGTGTAATGGATGAAACAGGGTATGTACATTTGTCTTTGGACTTACATGTCTGGAGTTCTGGTCACAGATTGTTAGAAATTAAAACTTACATATCAAAGTGGCAGAAGGAAATCAGATTATAAATATGAGGTGGCTGGGCACGGTGGCTCAAGCCTGTAATCCCAGCACTTTGGGAGGCCGAGGCGGGTGGATCACGAGGTCAAGAGATCGAGACCATCCTGGTCAACATGGTGAAACCCCGTCTCTACTAAAAATACAAAAAATTAGCTGGGCATGGTGGCGCACGCCTGTAATCCCAGCTACTCAGGAGGCTGAGGCAGGAGAATTGCCTGAACCCAGGAGGCAGAGGTTGCGGTGAGCTGAGATTGTGCCATTGCACTCCAGCCTGGGTAACAAGAGCGTAATTCCGTCTCAAAAAAAAAAAAAAAATGAGGTAAGGGTCTGTATCCAACTCCAGTTATTACAATATTGTACAATAATTGTGTCATGTTATACTTAGAGGCATTAATTATATCTAAAGTACATGTAATAATCATTGTCATGTTGTACTTAGATGTATGAATTTATTGGGAAATAGTTGATTCTAAATCCATAACAGGTGTCTCAAACTAAACTTTGCTAGGTAAAATGAGGTTATTCCCATTTTGTTCTATGTGACCAATAATTAAGGATAAATGTGTTGAGTCTTTAACAAATGGATAAAATGAACAATCCAGGTGAGCAGGGTGAATACTGTCAGAGTACATTGATACCCAAGTAACCAAGGAAAATGACTTCCTGCTAATGTGAAGGGATTGTAAAAAAATAAAATAGGACATACAGGGCATGGATGTTTCCTAACTGCTTTCTTGAAGGTGCAAGAGAAAAGCTGTTTTGTTGCCGTCAGTGCTGATGATGCTAATGGCAGAGGCTTGAGAGCAAGTGATTTCTGGCTGGTCTTATACATTGGAAGCATGCATTCCTCTCAAAGCTCATTTTAATATCATTGAATTCACTTGGCTATCCTCTGTCCTCTTTCAATTAGACTTTGAGGGTTTATTTGGACATTCTGGCAGGAAATGCAGCTATTTAGGAATTGCTTTAGAATAACTCTGGACTTGGCAAGAACTATTAATATAAAAGAGAATGATTACCTTTTGGGGTGATGAGCACAAAAAATGGGGAACCATCTACCCATTCTAGTGAAATCACCTTTATTATTAAGGAGGTGACAGCTCTGATGTCCTTTTGGTCACTTAATGTCTTTGTTTTCTTTGTCTAGAACACATCAAGGACAAGGTTGATAGTTGGAAAGGGTAGGGAATTCAAAAGAGAGTTATGATAAAGGTAGGGTTAGTAAAGGGAGCTATGTTCAAGTGTGTCTATAGCACCTAGCAGATTCTTATATGTGCCGGCTAAATTAACATCTCTGAGTGCCTGCTGTGATCCGGCCCTGCTCTGTGTCTCACATGTGGCATCTCACATGACCTTCTCTGTAACTCTTGGGAATAGTGTTCTTCTCTCTCTGCAGTCTTGCTGGCCTATTTCTACTGTTGATTTTTTGCTAAATTATGCTGTTTGTAGTTATGTGAATATGATAAAGGAATATGGTTTATTCCTTTGCATAGTTTAGGTTATAGTTCATTCCTTTGAATATTTTATTTAATTAATTAATTAATTTTTTTTTTATTGAGATGGGGTTTTGCTCTTGTTACCCAGGCTGGAGTGCAATGGCGCGATCTCGGCTCACCGCAACCTCCGCCCCCTGGGTTCAGGCAATTCTCCTGCCTCAGCCTCCTGAGTAGCTGGGATTACAGGCACGCGCCACCATGCCCAGCTAATTTTTTGTATTTTTTAGTAGAGATGTGGTTTCACCATGTTGACCAGGATGGTCTCGATATCTTGACCTCGTGATCCACCCGCCTCGGCCTCCCAAAGTGCTGGGATTACAGGCGTGAGCCACCGCACCCAGCCCAGTTTATTTTAAAATTATTAGTAGATATATGTAAGTGCTTGTTTTATTGTCTTATTTTTCTGGTTATAAAATTAATACAGGCTTACTGAAAACAAACAATTACAGCAAGTAAAGCTCCATAAAAAAAATGTGTGATGAACATAAAGAATACCCATATAATCCT